TAACTACAGCATTTATTGATTTATGTTGGACTTCCCACCCTACGCATATTAATATACTTGATACAAGATATGTGTACTCTCAAAGATATTAAAATTTGGTTGGAAAGCTAGATTTATAGGCAAAGAATGAATGAATATTGTCTTGAACATTTCAGTTCATTTACGTATAGAAATTGACCACCTATAATTTGTGTGGCACAATATAAGATATCAGGCACACCAAGATACATCTCCTACCTTCAAAAAGCTCACAGATGCATTTTTATACTTCAAAAAATCTCATAGTTCAGTACTAGAGAGGGAGTGTGAGTTGATTTTTTTTTTTTTTTCCTCAAGCAATTACTTTGCAATCACAGAAGGGAGACATCCAACAACCTGCCCAGGGATAGAGTCTAGATAAGTCTTCATGAACTGGTTCTTGAAAATTCATTTGACACATCTTGGGAGTGCCCACTATGAGCTGAGCTCTGTGATAAGCGTGGAACAGAGTGGTAGAGAGGAAAGAATCTGTCTTTACAGACTAGTGGGGGTGGTCAAGTCAATGAGCAATTAAGAAAAACACAAAAGACACACAACCCCAATCCAGAGCAAACCAGTTTATTTCCCTTCAGCTCTCTGCCAGCCCTAAACTGATATATTTGCATTGCCCTTGCATTTTTGTACAAGGTTTCGGGACATCATTGTGAAGAGTTAATTTGTTGGTTGTGTGAAAATCAGTTAAGGGCATTTCAGCAAAACAGACCAGTACAAGCAAAGGAAAACTGGTATAAGTAAGTGAGAATTGTTCAACAAACAACAGGGGTTAGTTTTGATACATGAAATTTGGGCGTGGAGGGTGGCCTTGAGAAATGTTAAAAAACAAAAATTCAACCAAGTAAATCTGATGATCTAATTGGCTTTATTCAATGGCTCATGAATCTGGCAGCATCCCTTCTAGTAAATAAAAGGGCTCTCTGAGGGGGTGTACAAAATGGAAGGTTTTTATAGGCAGAAGGAGGGTGGGGCAAGGAAGCTATTAGCAAAAGAAAAGAAAGGATTGTTTCAGGCCAGGCCATCAAATTTTGGGGGAAGGGAACAGCAGGGGTCTTTATCATGTAGATTATCACACTAGTGTTGATCAGGAAATTTCTGTTTAAAGGTCAGATTCCTGAGAGAATGTGAAACTGTAATTAAGTCTTGGTTTGCAGTCTTGGGAGCAAAGGACTCCATTTGGGGCTTGTGATTTTTTTTTTTTTTTTAACAGAAATGAGATGGACAGCTCATCAGGAAAACCATGTGTTATTGAACATAAGTTTGTGTGCTCAACACACAGTGAGACCAAACGAACCAAAATGGAGCTTGGATCAGAGAAAGGTTTATTGCAGGGCCAAGCAAGGAGAATGGGTAACTTGTGCTCAGAAAAACTGAACTCCCTGATGGTTTTGGAGGAGAAGTTTTTATAGGCAAAATTTGGGGTGAGGACTGGAGGGTGTGTGACTTTCCTCAGATTGGTTGGTGGTGAGGTAACAGGGTGGTATTCCAGGAACCTTGTGCTCATCCTGAAGTTATGATCCTCCGCCTGTGTGTGGTCTTAGTTCTTGCAGAAGAACTCAAAGATATTGTTATGTATATTCCTTGAGGAGGAATCAGAATCCTGGACTATAGTTTATTGATTGTTCCTTTGTTTCTGCATTCCCTTACTTCCCTGATTAGCAGCTGTCTGAATCCGCTCTTTGTATTCAGGAAGGTCTAAGAGGCAGAAGACTTTTTTCTATTTTTGGAAATAAGAAAAAGGGAGACACAGAAAGGCTTTTGTGCCCAGGACGGCCCCACAGGGTTCTTCCTCAGTTTCACATGGAGGGCTTGTATGTTAGGCTGAGCTCAAGAGTTAGACAAATGTAATCTGGTTGAAGGCTAAATTGATCTCTCTTGCATTGCTTATCCCTTGATTACTTACTGATAGAAGAAGGATGTGTGAGCTTCTAGGTAGAAGTCATAGCTTTCATTCAAATTTTAAAGAATCTGCAACAGAAAAAAAAAAAATCTAAGGACTTTCTTGGTAAAATCAAAGACAAAAACAACTATTGCTTTATACAAGAGGCCTAGTGAGGCAAGGTGATTTGTCCAAGGTTACATTGATCTTGGGTGGTCTCAGCCTGCAGTGGCTTGAAGTAGAGTTTTGGTTCCCATCCAGGGATTGAGCCAGGAGAGCACCGAATCCTAGCCACTAGACTAGTGGTCAGTGACAAGGCCCTGGTCCTATGGCTTTGCAGAAAAAAGAATTCCCACAAAGACAGAAAGTAGTGAAACAAGTAAAGTATTTATTAGGGGAAAAAGAAGTACAGTATGTGTGGATAGACACATGGGCAGGCTCAGAGATAGAGTCGCGAAGTGGCAGTTTGAATCACTTTTATGGGGCATTTCTTCCATGTCTCCTTTGGCCAATCATTTTGATTTGCCTAGTTCAGAGTCCATATTTGGTATATCTCAGGATCTTTCCATGTGTGTGTGTGCATCTCTTAGCCAAGATGGATTCAACCAAAGAGGCGTATGGGTAGATTTGGCCACTTGGAGGTCTACGCATGTGTAGGCGGAGAGGTCTCCTGACTTTGAGAATAAAATATGTGGTCTCTTATCTTCTATCTGGGCAGGGCCCAGTGTCCTCTCTCAATTGTCCTGTTATTCCCATCTGGAGTATGGTCCACAGGGAATGAACTCAAACTGTTTTCCCTGAGGGCCCATCTATCTCCTGCCTCAACATAACTTTTGTTGAACCTAAGTTCATGTGCCTGATGTACAGTGAGGCCAAACAAATCGAGATGTTGGAGTTTGGAGCAGAGAAATGTTTATTTTAAGGGCCAAACAAGGAGAATGGACAGTTCATGCTCAAAAGACCCTAACTCCCTGATGGTCTTCAAGGAAGAGTTTTTAAAGGCAAATTTTGTTGGGGAGGGCTATGGGGTGTGTGACTTTCTTCTGATGGTTGGTGGTGAGGTAACAGGATGGTATTTCAGGAATCTCAACCATCAGCCTTCTGGTTCCAACCAGTCTGGGGTCTACGTGATTGTGCTCAGCCTGAAGTCACCATCCTCCACTTGGATAGGTCCTTAGTTCCTAGAGAAGAACTCAAAGATATGTATCAGATTATTAGGTTTATCCCTTAAGGAGGAACTAGGACTCTGCACTATTGTTTCTTGACTGCTTTTCCTTTGTTTCTGCATTCCCTCACTTCTAATTAGTAACTGTTTGAATCTGCCTTTTGGAACTCAGGGAAGGTCTGGGAGGCTGAAGCCTTTTTCCTACAATCAAGAAATGGGGAAAATGGAAAGGCTTTTGTACCCAGGAGGGCCTTGAATGGTCCTGCTCTGTTTCAATCCCCCCTTTTCTTTGCTACTCCTTAATCTTGAGGTGAACAAGTACAGGACAAGAAAGGGAGTAAAGTTTTGGATAGAGAGCTTAGACATAAACTTGGCAGAGAAACTCAGTTTTAGGGGGCTCAGTTTCATAACTTCAAAGAACAAATCTAGGACAGGAGCTCAGGCCTCTGGCCCCTTCCCCACTCTCCACAGCCTCACTACACTACAGGGCTAATGTGAGCCTGGATGGGTCACACAGGGAGGCTGTTCCCTGTCCTTCACAGAGGCTGCACCTTCTTTTTAATTCAGCCATCACTTACTTAGCATTTCCACGCACTGGGCATTGTGCTAAGAGAGATTATTCCCTCCCTCTCTTCCTCTCTCTCTTCCTTCCCAGGAACATTTACTGAGCTTGAAAGCTAAGTCAGGCACTCGCTACCCTGTGCTAGGGGTTGAAGGACAAGAATTTACTGTTCATCTAGAAAGACAGACATGCAGAAAGAAGCTATGATACCGTGCGGCATGTGTCACAGGAAAGAGAGGTACCACAGCCATGAGAGCCTGGGAGTGATGCCTCATACCCGTAAGACCTTGTAACAAAAAGGAAAGGCTGAAAGGAGAGTCCCTCATCTCCCTAGGCTATTCTCAGGTGCCTGAAGGCATCTCAGACACAGCAATGTCTTTGTCTGTCTTCACAGCAGTGTCTGGCCCACCTGATGCTCAGTCCCATGGTCTTCCCTGGGCAGAGTTTTTGAGCAGGAGTTGATCTCAGGTGGCCTCAGCCTGCATCAGCTTGAAGTAGGATTTCAGTTCCCTGGCCAGAGTTTGAAGTCAGGTCACAGCAGTGAGAGCACCGAACCTTAGCCACTAGACCATGAAGGCCAGTGGCCAGTGATAAGACCCTGGCCCGTGGCTTTGTAGAAATGAATTTCCACATAGAGACGGAAAGTAGTGAAACAAGTGAAGTGTTTATTAGGAGAAAAAAGAGTAAGTGTAGATAAACACATGGGTGGACTCAGAGAGAGAGACGCACCCTCGTGGTAGTTTGAATCACTTATATGGGGCATTTCTGGGTTTCCTTTGGCCTATCATATTGTTTTGCCTGGCTCCTCCCACCAGGGAAGTCCAGAAGAGATGTTATTAACTACATTTAGAGCTTCACAGTCTGTAAAATATGAAGCTGTCTAGGACTTTCCTAGTGGCGCAGTGGTTAAGGATCTGCCTGCCAATGCCTGCCAATGCAGGGGACACGGGTTCAAGCCCTGGTCCGGGAAGATCCCACATGCTGCGGAGCAACTAAGCCCATGCACCACAACTACTGAGCCTGCACTCTAGACCCCACGAGCCACAACTACTGAAGCCCGGACACCTAGAGCCTGTGCTCCACAACAAGAGAAGCCACCGCAATGAGAAACACGTGCACCGCAACGAAGAGCATCTCCCGCTCACAGCAGCTAGAGAAAGCCTGCACGCAGCAACAAAGACCCAGTGCAGCCACAAATAAATAAATTAAATACAAATAAATTATTTAAAAAAACTGCTTAAAGAAGCTGTCTAAAATAAAATCATTTCAGGAGCCCGATAGTGACATATATCAGACAATGCCTCACTGTCACACAGATGGAAAGACTCCTAACCACCTTCTCTCCTCTCTTACAGGTAAGACAGAAAGCAGAGATGCTTTTTACTTTGCTGGGATGTTTCGCATCACCAACATTGAGTTTCTTCCTGAATACCGACAGAAGGAGTCCAGGGAATTTCTATCAGTGGCTCGGACCGTGCAACAAGTGGTGAGGTGATGGGGGGATCTTGAAAGGCTGGGGAAGGTGAGGTCAGGGGGTAAGGGATGAGGGGTTGGGGTTACAGTGTCACAGGTGAGCAGGGTGGATGAAGGAAGAACTCAGGGAAACATGAGATTTAGCTCATCTTGGTTGTAAGATAAAATTGTTTATTTGATAGAATTGCTTTTTTTTTTTTTTCTCCTGAAAGTAAAAAGAAATGGCTCTCTGAGCTTCAGTTTTTCTTATCTCTAAAATAAAAGAATCAGATCAGGTGATATTTAAAATGCCTTCCAGTACAGAAATTACATGCATACTGATTAATTCTGTGATCCATACAGATTTATTTCAACCTTGATGCACTGGCATCTCTTCACTTAAAAAAAAAACCAAAAAAACCTTTCCTATTGTAGAACTGATAAGTATTTATTGTAAAAATTTATAAAATTTACAAAAGTACTTTAAAAATATAATCTCCTTTAACATCGTCTCCAGAGATAGAGCCCCTTTTGATTCTGGACCACGTGGACACAGGACATAGGGCAATATTGGAGTATTAGTAGATATTCAGTTTTATAATCTGACTTTTTCCTCTTAACATAAGATTGCATGTCTCTATGCAAGTTCATATTCTTTAAAAAGCATAAGTTTTGATAACTTCAAGTTGGCAAGTCCCTTTTTATTGGATATTTAAGTTGTTTCCAATTTTTGCTATTAACAGATAACACTATAACAAAACTGCCATGTAAATTGTTTGTATCTCTGATTACTTCCTTAGCTGATTTCTTAAAAGTATAATTGGTCACACAGAAGAATATTTATCATGGCTCTTGGTACCTATTACCAATAGAAAGTTTCTGCCAGTTTGCATCTGCACAGTAATGGAGAGGGTGGCCTAGCAATGGCGACTCTCCTGCAGTGACAGGCGCTCTGCAGTGTAAAATGAAGAAGGGCTGAGAGAGAGAGAGCAAGCAAAGACGGTAGCAGGCATAGTGGCTTTTGTTGATTGAAGGCCTCCTATATACTGGGTAAAGTGTAAAACCCTTTACCATTTCAATATATCAATTATCCTTCAAATTAGCCCAAGGAGATGGACATTCTTTTAAAATCCCTTTACCATTTTTTCCAATCTCAGGCAGTATTCTTCCTTCAACACCCAAAGCCATTCCTCTCTGCTGCTGAAGTTATCCTTCAAAAATAACATTTCTCCTTTGGCTTAAGGACACAATACTGATTCTTAAGAATAGCCAGATAAAATACTGATTCTTAAGAATACCAGGCAAGCACTTTTCTAAATCTGTCCCCTGATTGTCCCAGTCTCATTCCTTACCACTTTCTCCCAACAGAAACCTTGTGATCTAAGGCAGTCATTACTTGTGTTATGAATAATCATTGCATTTACATGTCTGGCAGTCCTGGTTTCTGCTGCTATTCACTCAGGACCTAAAGCCATCTGTCCAATTTCTATGGAGTGAAATTCCACCCGTCATTCATGACCCATCAAAAAGCCTCCTTCTCTGTGAAATCCTCCCCAGCCTCCTGCAGAGTCAATGCTGGCTTTGTGTAGACCCCATTTGTATAGTTAGTATTGCACTCAATGCATTTTATTATAGTTATTTAACATCCCACCCAAAGAGGTAGGCATTTTGATCACCACTTTACAGATTAAAAAAGAGAGAGACAGAAAGAGAAAAACAAATACCGTACACTAACACATGTATATGGAATCTAAGGAAAAAAGAAAAAAAATGCCATGAAGAACCTAGGGGTAAGACAGGAATAAAGACACAGACCTACTAGAGAATGGACTTGAGGATATGGGGAGGGGGAAGGGGAAGCTGTGACAGAGAGAGTGGCATGGACATATATACACTACCAAACGTAAAATAGATAGCTAGTGGGAAGCAGCCACATAGCACAGGGAGATCAGCTCGGTGCTTTGTGACCACCTAGAGTGGTGGGATAGGGAGGGTGGGAGGGAGACGCAAGAGGGAGGAGATATGGGGATATATGTATACATACAGCTGATTCACTTTGTTATAAAGCAGAAACTAACACACCATTGTAAAGCAATTATACTCCAATAAAGATGTTAAAAAAAAAAGAGAGAGAGAAAGAAAAAAAAGAAGCTCAGCAGGCCTTGGTAATGTGCTCTGTGTTGCACAGTGAATTTAAACTCCATGGCCCATTTTTTTCCACAATGCTATATTATTTCTAAGGTTTTTCATTTTTTGGTTTTCTTTCCTGGGCAATTAGGTGATTTTGCTATTATGTAAAAAGGAGACTACAGGAGGAGAAGATTTGCCAGAAGAAATTGGTTTTAGAAATGCTAAGTAAGGGCAAACAGTCAGTTGACTGAAACAGCTCTCTTTTGAGATCCATTTATGGTGTTTTAAAAGATCTGGGTGTGTCCCTGGAAACGAGAGTTCTGCAGTGGGATGTGGAAGTTGGACTGTGGGCACCACGCGCCCTCTAGCGGCTAATATACATTTTCCGTGGCGTGCATTGGTAGAAAAGAGGTTGGGCAGAATACCTTGTAAATACGCTTAAAGGAGTTTCGCTTATTCATTGTGGAGAAAATTAACTTTTGGAGTAGACAGAATGCAGCAGTTAAGCTTGGTTAGGGTGTCTAAAGACAGCAATAAATGAATAAAGGTAGCTGGTTAATCTTCACAGAGAGCAGAATGACAGTAAGTAACCCTGATACAGGAAGTAAGAATTTATTTGAACTCAAGGAATAATGTCTGGGTTTGGCCTTAGAGGCCTTTAGTTTGAGCCTTGCTTTTCACCTTGCTAACTGTCAGAGCTTGGACCTACGGCACACTGGGTATCATGAGAGGAAGCCAATTTGAAAGACTTCAGACATCTTGGTTCTTCTTTTGCAGGTAAACCTGGTTTATACAACATCTGCCTTCTCCAAATTTTACCAGCAGTCGGTAGTTGCAGATGTCAGGTAATGAATGTCCCTTGCTTTGGGACTTCTATGTTCACTGCTGTAATACCTCAAAAGGCTGTGGAAGGGCTGAAAGAGCGCCATTCTCAAGTAACCACTTGGGGGCAGTTGTGGGTTAATACCCTTCTAGCACAATAGCAACCCAACTCTTTTTTTACCCCTTTTATTTATTTATTTTAAAGACTTTATGTATGTATGTATGTATGCATTTATTTTTGGCTGCGTTGGGTCTTCGTTGCTGCGCGCGGGCTTTCTCTAGTTGCGGTGAGCAGGGGCTACTCTTCATTGTGGTGCACAGGCTTCTCATTGCAGTGGCTTCTCTTGTTGCAGAGCACCAGCTCTAGGTGCGTGGGCTTCAGTAGTTGTGGCACACAAGACTCAGAAGTTGTGGCTCGGGGGCTCTAGAGCTCCGGCTCATTAGTTGTGGAGTATCGGCTTAGTTGCTCCGTGGCATGTGGTATCTTCCTGGACCAGGACTCGAACACGTGTGCCCTGCATTGGCAGGCGGATTCTTAACCACTGCACCACCAGGGAAACCTGCAGCTGAACTCTTTGTCATGCTATCATGCTGAGTTTTTTTCTTCATTTACCAAAGCCTGCCCTCTTTCCAGAACTGGGATCCTAGACCTTTGTATTAATGCCACTGGGCAAAATGACCATAAACACGTCCACTATACTGGGTGAGGGCAAACAGAAAACACAGACCAGTCAGTGTCTCTCAAAATATGTTCAGTAAAAAACTGGTCACTAGAGATCTTCTGAGCAAACAAGGATCCCATGGTCAAATAATTTTTAGGAAACTTTGTGTGCCTTGTACTGTATCCCATCTCCCCCCACCCCTGATATATCTACAGAGATTCACAATCCGTTTGGGCAGATTAAAGGCACTGAGAAGTCTTGGAGTAAAGCAATTTGTTTCCTCTCCTTCACCTTCCATTTCCCAAATTATGTGCTATAGAACACTATCTTATGTTTTTTTCATAAAATATGACAATATCTGTGCAGGTAGGAGCTCCTACTCCAGGGTCAGATTGAAAACCAAATTAGGCTTGATTCCTGACTTGCTACTCAGTAGCTGTGTGATTTTGAGTTGTAGATGACCTTAATTTCCTCATCTGTAAAACTGGAAGCGTAACAGGACCTTCCTCAAAAGATTAAATGGGATAAAGCAGATTTAGCGCTGTGTCTGGACATGGTGAGGTATCAAACATTCTAACTGTTGTTATTTGTAATAGCAGTGAATACTGATTGACATCCATAGAAATAGTATATTCTCCATGGAGATGCAAAATATACTAACAGTTCTAGATTTGAACACAGCACAAGAATACACATACCATGATGCTTTCCTTTCCAAATTCCCATGATAGGAGTCAATGGCTTCCTAAAGAAGGAAGTTAGTTGAAAGATGAACTTGAAAGATGTTGAAAGATGTGTCAGTTGAAAGATGTGTCCATTGGCCTCACCTTGAATTTATCACTTGGGTCACTGGCTCCTTATGAAAGTCTACTTCCTAAGAGGTATCCCTGGACTTCTTTCTCTTTTCACTACAGCAGTAACAACAAAGGTGGCCTCCTTGTTCACTTTTGGCTTGTGTTTGTCATGCCACATGCCAAGGGCCATATCTTCTGTGAGGACTGTGTGGCTGCCATCTTGAAGGACTCCATCCAGACAAGCATCATAAACCGGACCTCCGTGGGGAGCCTGCAGGGTCTGGCTGTGGACATGGACTCTGTGGTACTAAATGGTGATTGTTGGGTAATTCTCCTTCAAGCACTCCTTCCTGCAGCACTCTTGATACTGTCGTTGTCGTGGTCAATGTTGCCGTGAAGTACAGTCTTCCCTCTATATCCACGGACTTCGCATTCGTGGATTCAGCCAACCATGGATAGAAAACATTTGGAAAAAAAATTCTAGAAAGTTCCAAAAAGCAAAACTTGAATTTGCCACAGGCTGGGAACTATTTACACAGCATTGACACTGTATTAGGTATTAGAAGTAATCTAGAGATGATTTAAAGTATACAGGAGGATATGCATAGGTTTTATGCAAATACTATGCCATTTTACATAAGGGATTTGAGCATTCATGAATTTTGGTATCCTTGGGTGTCTTGGAGCCAATTCCCTGTGGATACTGAGGAATGACTGTATTCTTCTCCACAATCCCAGTGGAACAGGATTAGCTGAAGACATTGGAGCTACATTGATAAAAGAAGTTGCTAAATGTTATATACAGTGATTAGACAATAGAATTAGGGTCAGAATACACATGAAAATGAATTTCTTAAAGCGTACCCTTTTCTATATTTAATTTGGCTTCATGCATCTTCAAAGTAAGGCTCCAAGGGATAAGGTCCTGGAGAAGGAAAATTTTGCTGAGGTTTACCTTCCTTGTTTCTTCCCTTGTTCAGACAGAACTGCATCTGTGTTCTATAGTGTGCCCCAGTGCTCCAAAATGGCCTGCCCAAAACACAGAATGCAAATTCCATCATTTGTCTTGACAGTAAAGTGGTTTAATTATTGTCTAACCCAAAATTTATGCAGTTTTCTATTTTGATTTAAATTATATATATACATGTTAGGCATATAGTAGGTTGATAAGTATTTGTAATAAGTAATGAATCAATAAAAAAATCTCTAGTGGAAAATTCTGTACCACATATACTACTTCAGATATAGAACCAATTATTACCATGTTTAGTTGCTTTTTTATCTTCAAAAAATGTTTAAAAGTTGTTACAACAGATGATTTCAAGCACAAAAGTAAAGAGAATTGTTTAATGAACTCTTACACACTTTACTCAGCTTCAACAACTATCAACTCATAGCTGTCCTATTTGATGTCTAAATACCTAAACAACCTCCCTTTTACCCTCTCAGGATTATTTTAAAGCAAATCCCAGATATGTTGGATTGCTTTTAAAGGACAAGATATTTTTACTAAGCAAAGTTCTAACAAAATGAAATGCTGGGACTGATAGTGTTTTTTCTATGTGCTTTTTCAATGCAGCTGGGCTTCGGTCAGATTACTCTTCAACCATAGGATCTGGTAAATTATGTCTGTGGTTTCTCCCCTGCCCTCCAACCTCCCCATCCCCAACTGCCTCCAAATCAGTATCCTTTTTGGCTGTAGTTTTCCTGTTCACATGATGGTGTTTGTTAGTGTTCTTTCCGTTGCAAGTGACAGATATAGTATATTCAAACTAGCTTAAGCACAAAAGAAACGTGATTGCCTCATATAACTGGGACATACGTGGAATATGCTGGCTTCAGGCATGGTTGGGTCCAGGTTCTAAGATAAAATATTGTCAGGACTCTGCATTTTTGTTTTCTTCTGCTGAGACTTCATCAAGTGCGTTCTTCCAATGTGGTGGCATAAATGGCCACCAGCAGATCCAAGCTTATGATTTATCAGTTTAGCTACCATGGTGGAAAAAAATCTCACCTGTATTTTGAGAAGTCCTTGGGCTGAGTTTCATTGTCTCAAATTGACTGACGTGCCCACTCCTGAAACAGCTGCTTTGGCTCTGATTGGTCAGTCTGGGTCGTGTAATCACTTCTGGACCTAGGGTGAGTTTAACCCCAACCAAGCCACATGGACAGGGTAGGTGTAGTTTCTCAAAGTAAAATCTAGGTGCTGTTATCAGAAGAGATGAGAGTGGATTCCAGGCTGGCAAAGACAGCAGATATTCTCCATGTGAGCTCTTTTGCTCTTTACTCTTCTATAAAGATTTCTAGAAAAATCATTCGTAAAACAAAACAAAGCAAAATAAAGTGCTGTCTCCACAGACAAAGGCTGCTCTCAGTACTTCTACGCAGATCACCTGTCTCTCCGCTACCCTCTGGAGATTTCGGCAACCTCAGGGAGGCTGATGTGCCACTTCAAGCTGGTGGCCATAGTGGGCCACCTGATCCGTCTCTCAATAGAGTCCGTCCAGATTGAAGCCGACAACTGTGTCACCGACTCCCTGACCATTTACGACTCCCTCATGCCAATCCGGAGCACCATCTTGTATAGGTATTATGCAGGCACTCTGGTTGGCAAGTGAAAAGGATTTTTACAATGTCTTATGCAGGCACTCTGGTTGGCAAGTGAAAAGAATTTTTACAATGTCTCTCTTTTGCAGTATCTGGCTTGCCCTTGGATTTTTTTAAACCATTTTTGTATATACTCATGAGGTCAAAGATTGACCCGTGCCCTGTTTAGTGCCCCCTGTATTAGCCAGAGCCTGTCAGACACAGTGTTTGCTTTTCAAACAGTCAAAATCATTGGGAACTTCAGTCAATAGTTTTGATACATATTTCACATTGTTTTGGGTTTAATTTTACTTTCATTGCAATCACAGCGAAGGCTACTGTTTCAATAGAATGTGAGAATGAATATTCTGTTATGATTGCATAGCATTAGTAAAACAATTTATTTTCCTTATAAAGATAACACAGTGTTTATTGTGGAAATGAGCTCAATCAGAGAAAACAATGTCAATTATCTTACATTCCCATTACCCAGAATAAATGTCTGTTATATTTTTGCATACATTCTTTCATTCATACGTGTACATAATTACACACACGTATACATATACATATCCTAGTATTTCTTACTCACTAGTAGACATCTTTTTATGAGTGCTTAATATTTTGGTAACCTAGTAATGTCAGTTAGGCTTTATTAAGAATTTGCTATTTTTACTCGTTGTGCTAAAGGGCATATGAATTACCTTATCATTTTAAATGGTGTTTATGTATGTATATAATAGTATTTTATGTAAGTATTATTTATTTATATTTTGATGGTGAATGAACATGTTAAAAATTCAAACAGTGTCTAAAGATTTGTAGTGAAAAGTAAGTTTGCCACTGACGCTCACCCCTCAATCACTGTTTTTGGTTTCTTTTCACTATTCCCAGACATATTTAGTTATTATCTCATTTAATCCTCACCACAATGCTATGAGGAGTATACTGTTATTATTACTACCATTTCAGAGTTGGGAAACTGGCATTTATGAAGAACTAGTTACTTCATTGCCCAGTTAAGTGATAGAGCTGAGTTTTGAACCCAGTTTTCCCTGGTGAAGAGCTCATGACTTTAGCTATTAAATACCCTGCCTGTATACCTTGTTTGCTCTCAAGGAGTGTCCAGTGACAGCCATCCAAGAGAATTCTTCATTAGTCACTGGACAAAAATTTCTGCAGCTATATCAGCTCCGCTCCATCTGTAGTGCCTTCTGACCACTAATTGATGAAGACCTGGCTGGTAGAGTCTGATTCACAGGAACTGTGTGGATGGCCCAAGAAATGTGTGAAATTAGTGGTGGATGGAGGTCCGATCCTCAATAACATACTATTTATGTGCTTTTGTTTTGTTATCTGGTTTCAGAATTTGTGAACCCACAAGAACATTAATGTCATTTGTTTCGACAAATAATCTCATGTTGGTGATATTTAAGTCTCCTCAGATACCAAGGCTATCAGGAATCCGGGCATATTTCGAGGTCATTCCAGAACAAGGTAAGCTTCCCCAATTGAAAAAAAGTCATGAGAAATACTCATTATGATAGATACTCCAGTCTTATCTCTCCCAAGGCTGTGTTGTAATACTAGTTGCATTAGTCAGGACCCTGAGTCAGGTTCAAAGAGGGAGATGGTATTAGTTATTCTAACAGAGAACTTAATGAAAGAACTGTTAACTCAGTACAGAGGTGTTAACTGGGTAACTCAAAAGGCAAAAAAACAGAAACAAAACACAAAAAAACTGTAAGGTATCATGGATGTAACACATGTAGGAAGCAACTAGCACTGTAGATCTAGAGGAACAAAGGAAAGGAATTGGAACGATTACAATTTAGGGCTTGGAGGAGGGGGAGGTAGTCTGTGTAATGGAACTCAGACCTATGCCCAGCTGGTGTTGGTGTCTATAAATTCGGAGGCAGGTGTTCATGAACCTGGGACCCAGACCTTTGAGGAGAGGGTGCCAGACAGCTGAGCTGGCATCTTTTAGGGAGACACAATAAAGCGGAAGTTGGAAAAACTGCTAACAGATTCAACTCTGTTACAGGAAGGAAGAGTAGCTGCAAGGGTGAAGCAGCATTTCTGGGGTGACACTCCCAGGAATAAGAAACAGAGTGAAGTCTTACTCTCCCCTCTCCAGCCTTTCTAGTCTCCCTTTAGCACCCCCTACTGGCAGAGCATATCAGGTAGTGAAGGACAGAAGTGGTTTGTATAGTCCAGCCCAGCCTTGCAGAACAGAGTAGAGAGGGGTGGGTTTGGAGCTGAGGGACAATAGCTCAGTAACTAGCACATTCTTTCATGAATTCTCATTTATAGTAATGCACATAAGTGCCATCTTAGAAAGTGCTCATGATGCAAAACCCAGAGGTATTTTTTTTTTTTTTCCGGTACGCGGGCCTCTCACTGTTGTAGATTCTCCCGTTGCAGAGCACAGGCCGCGGACGCGCAGGCTCAGCAGCCATGGCTCACGGGCCCAGCCGCTCCGCGGCATGTGGGATCTTCCCGGACCGGGGCACGAACCCGTGTCCCCTGCATCGGCAGGAGGACTCTCAACCACTGCGCCACCAGGGAAGCCCAAAACCCAGAGGTTTTAATGGGTTTTTCTAGTGAGCAAAAAGTGACCTCCTCTTTGTTCTTCTCTTTTTGACTTGGGTTGACGAAGTCAAACAAAACAAAATGAAAAGAGCCTTCACTGAAACTCTAATGTTTTTGTAATATTTGTTGCCTTGGAAACTGGCCAGATCTTACAGGTCATGTCTTGGTAACTTCTTTAAGAGCATCAACAAAGCCAAAGGGGTCAGAATGGGAGATGGGGGTGAGGAGGGAAGAGAATTGGGCTTAAGGAGATAGTGAGAGCTACAGGTTCATCACTATTTTAGGGCAGTGGCTCATTTTGATAGGTTTTTCTCTGTCACATTATTACAAAACAAAATGTAAAATTGATTTATTGAACTAGATATTTGAGATAGTGTTAGGTTGAAAATTATCTGTAACTCCAAAGGTTAAAAATAGAATTATAACAGAAATATTATAGTGGAATTTGTCTATCCACTCAACAAATATTTACTGAGCATCTGTTGTATGCCAGAAATGACTGTAGGTGTTAGGGAAATAGTAAACAAAATAGAAAGAAAATCAGTGCTCTTGGGCTGCTTATATTCTAGCAGAAGGATGACCATAACAGTAAGAATAGACATGTAGATTGTCTTATTTAAATAGTATAACACATTATGAAAACTGGATATCTCTTGAACAACAAATACACACTAATTTGAACAAAATTAACTCAGAAGCTTTAAAAATATATATTTACAGTGCTGCATGTCAAAATATACATACAGTGTTAATATGTTAATTATATCTCAATAAAACTAGAAGAAAAAATATATTTAAACCATGTTTTTTAAAGAAAGGAATAGCCTCCTATAGATCTGTAACCAAAATAAATGATTTGAAATAGCCAGGAGATGGAAGCAACCTAAGTGTCCATCATCGGATGAATGGATAAAGAAGATGTGGCACGTATATACAATGGAATATTATTCAGCCATAAAAAGAAACGAAATTGAGTTTTTTGTAGTGAGGTGGATGGACCTAGAGTCTGTCATACAGAGTGAAGTAAGTCAGAAAGAGAAAGACAAATACCATATGCTAACACATATATATGGAATCTAAGAAAAAATGTCATGAAGAACCTAGGGGTAAGACAGGAATAAAGACACAGACCTACTAGAGAATGGACTTGGGATATGGAGAGGGGGAAGGGTGAGCTGTGACAAAGCGAGAGAGAGGCATGGACATATATACACTACCAAACGTAAAATAGATAGCTAGTGGGAAGCAGCCGCATAGCACAGGGAGATCAGCTCTGTGCTTTGTGACCACCTAGAGGGGTGGGATAGGGAGGGTGGGAGGGAGAGAGATGCAAGAGGGAAGAGATATGGGAACGTATGTATATGTATAACTGATTCACTTTGTTATAAAGCAGAAACTAACACACCATTGTAAAGCAATTATACTCCAATAAAGATGTAAAAAAAAAAAAAGGGCTTCCCTGGTGGCGCAGTGGTTGAGAGTCCGCCTGCCGATGCAGGTGACACGGGTTCGTGCCCTGGTCCGGGAAGATCCCACATGCCGCGGAGCAGCTGGGCCCGTGAGCCGTGGCCGCTGAGCCTGTGCGTCCGGAGCCTGTGCTCCGCAACGGGAGAGGCCACAAATGAGAGGCACGCATACCGCAAAAACAAAAAAAAAAAAAAAAAAAAAAAAAAAAAAAAAAAAAAAAAAAGATTTGAAAACAAGTATAGACTTTGAACAGTATATTAGCTATACATCCATAGGGCACTATTTTTTTTAAATAGTTTAATTTCAAAAATATATAAGCTTATTGACCAAGAAAATGTGCATTTGTAGTTAAAGAAATGTATGCTGTCTATTTCCCATAATCTCACAACTGCAAATCATTGTGTGTTACTGGATATTTTTTTCAGAATGTGAAAACACAGTGTTGGTCAAAGAAATCACTGGCTTTGAAGGGAAAATTTCAAGTCCATATTACCCAAGCTACTACCCTCCAAAATGCAAGTGTACCTGGAAATTTCAGGTAGCCTAGTTTTAACAGTATCTTAGAAAAATATTGCTATCCTATTTTTAGTAGCTATTTATTTTTGAATTTAATTATACTTATTTTTTAAATTACAAAAAGAATGTCAGTTAATTTTATAATATTTAAACCTTATTAAAATATATTATCTAGAACATGAAGGTTTGTTGTAATTTCAAGCCGCTGCTCACAATTAACTGCTTTTTGCAGACTGGGGCTTATTTGTCCAGTTTCTTACTTTGTATTAAAAAGAGCAAAGACATTGTTATAGGATCAAAGAGTTTATTTTATTATGGTAGAGCTCATTTATTAATTTTTAATTACTTCATCAGCATTATAATGAGAATAATAAAGAAATAATAAATTGAATTAGGCAATATATATTTCAGCTGTATAAGCAAATCGGAGTGTAAATTTATATGAAGTACATATGTCTCCCTCTGGCGCTAGACAGGTAGTCCCTGGTTTGTTTTTCGAAATCTCAGTGTCTAACCTATTTTTCTTTCTCCAGCTGTTATATTAATGTGGAGGGAGGTCGCCTTTGCTCTTTCAGCATATACATATGAAATCATTTTTGTGGGGCATAGCAGTTAGATGTAAGTGACAAGCAGTGTCTAGTTTGTATTCATTCAACATATTATTATTAAATGCCTGCTCCGTGTCAGACAGTATTCTGAACACTGGGATGCATGAGATCTCTCTCTCTCTCTCTTTCACACACACACACACACACACACACACACACACACACACACACAAGCTCTGCTGTCATGGAGTCCTCTATAAAGTAGGGGGAGACAGGTGACAAAGAAATAAACAAGTAAAATACATACAGTGTGTTCCATGATAGTACAATGCTATGGAGAATACAGCAGGGGAGGGGCTCTGTAGCTGAGTGGGGGGTGGTGGTGTGAAAGGTAGGAAGTCTGGGATTTGTTGTCTCAAGTAGGATGGTCAGGGAAAGCCTCACTGACAAGGGGACATTTGCATAGAAACTTGAGACACGATGGAACTAACCAGGTGCGTGCTGAGGGTAAGAGTGTCCCGGGCAAAGGGAAGAGCTGAGGCAAAGGCCCCGAGGAGGCAGGAGAGTGCTTGCTGCATGTAGGGTTCGTGCACAGTCCTAACAGTTAAATATTGAAATGTTTTTATTATACCCAAATCTCTACCTACTAGTAGGCATCCTTAAATTATTTTTTTATCATTATCCCAAATATTTAAAATATAATTAAGACATAAAGGTTCTAGATTCTTGCTCACTGCCCAATTCTTGGTGCCTTAGAGCAGCAAAAGTTCAGAGCCTCAGGTGACTAGCAAGTCTGAAGGTGGGGAGAGGGGTAGATGGAAAGAGAAGAAAAGAAGCGCTGGGGAAAGAGGAGGGAAAGACATCAAACTTCTGCCTCTTCAACTCTCCAATAAGCAGAGTTATCTTCTTTATGATATCTAGAACAGGAAAGAGCCCATTCCCAGAAGCTCCATCAAGTGTTTGAAAGTCCTTTGAGATAAAACAAATGTTGATCCCATGGTAACTCACAAGATTTAAAAGGAAAATCCCTAAACGTTGCTGTGATTAAGTTTTAGTCAGAGTACAAACAAAAATATCAGATCACTTTCTGTTTCACTGGGTCAAGGGTTAGAAATGCTGAACAATAGGAAATCTTTATAAGGAAAAGAGCATGGGGGTGGGGGATGGGAAAGGGGATACAGGAAACATTGGGGACAGACTTGTGCGATGACACCATTCCCCAGAGGTCAAGGTTGGTTGTTCTCAGTGAGGAGGTTAAATAAAGCTGTTGCTTTCTTGGAAGACTTTGAGCAGCCACCGATAGCTGTGTGACAGCACGTTTCTTTTTATTTTTTTTGAATTTTTGAATGTTATTTAATTTATTTTTTTATAGAGCAGGTTCTTATTAGTCATCCATTTTATACACATCAGTGTATACATGTCCATCCCAATCGCCCAATTCATCACACCACCACCCACACCCCCCACCGCTTTCCCCCCTTGGTGTCCATACAATTGTTCTCTATATCTGTGTCTCTATTTCTGCCCTGCAAACTGGTTCACCTGTACCATTTTTCTAGGTTCCCCATATATGCATTAATATACAATATTTGTTTTTCTCTTTCTGACTTACTTCACTCTGTATGATTGTCTCTAGATTCATCCACACCTCTACAAATGACCCAATTTCATTCCTTTTTGTGGCTGAATAATATTCCATTGTATATGTACCACATCTTCTTTATCCATTCGTCTGTCATTGGGCATTTAGGTTGCTTCCATGACCTGGCTATTATAAGTAGTGCTGCTATGAACATTGGGGTGCATGTGTCTTTCTGAATTATGGTTTTCTCTGGGTATATGCCCTGTAGTGGGATTGCTGGGTCATATGGTAATTCTATTTTTAGTTTTTTAAGGAACCTCCATACTGTTCTCCATAGTGGCTATATCAATTTATATTCCCACCAACAGTGCAAGAGGGTTCCCTTTTCTCCACACCCTCTCCAGCATTTGTTGTTTTTTTCTTTTTTTTTTTATTCAAACAGAAAGTCACAAAAATTATAATCATCCCCATCAGTTCACTCAGTCCCAGGTAATTAATTTTTTTTCATCTTGATCTTTTTTTAGCACTTTTATGAATTCATCAGTTTTCCATTAGAGTTCTCAAAATGCTTATTCATTCAGTTCAGCAGTATAGTCAGTTACCAGAAACCTGTACTTGTCAGAGATTTTTCCATGAATTCCTTGAAGATGAAACCCTTTTAGAGGAACATTTTTGCAAAAGCATCAGAGTATACCCAGAACTGTCTGTAAATGACAAAATACTTAAAAATGACCACAGATAAAGATTTGATGAAAGTTCATAATAATGCAATTGACAAGGAAATTTAGTTACTTCTGAGATATACATTTTAAAGTAATAACTAGAATTATAACTTATAACATTATACCAGAACATATAAGATTTTTAGAAATTTCATGTAATGTCTGAAACATTTATATTAACATATTTCTATACAAATAACCCAAAGAAAGTTTAGTATTAGTTGTTTTTTGTTTTTTTTTTTTATACTGCAGGCTCTTATTAGTCATCAGTTTTATACACATTAGTGTATACATGTCAATCCCAATCACCCAATTCAGCACACCACCAACCCCACCCCACTGCGGTTTTCCCCCCTTTGTGTCCATAGGTTTGTTCTCTACATCTGTGTCTCAACTTCTGCCCTGCAAACCGGTTCATCTGTACCATTTTTCTAGGTTCTACATACATGTGTTAATATACGATATTTGTTTTTCTCTTTCTGACTTACTTCACTCTGTGTGACAGTCTCTAGATCCATCCACGTCTCAACAAATGACTCTATTTCGTTCCTTTTAATGGCTGAGTAACATTCCATTGTATATATATACCACATCTTCTTTATCCATTTGGCTGTCAATGGGCATTTAGGTTGCTTCCATGACCTGGCTATTGTAAAGAGTGCTGCAATGAACATTGGGGTGCATGTGTCTTTTTGAATTATGGTTTTCTCTGGGTATATGCCCAGTAGTGAGATTGCTGGATCATATGGTAATTCTATTTTTAGTTTTTTAAGGAACCTCCATACTGTTCTCCATAGTGGCTGTATCAATTTACATTCCCACCAACAGTGCAAGAGGGTTCCCTTTTCTCCACACCCTCTCCAGCATTTGTTGTTTGTAGATTTTCGGATGATGCCCATTCTAACTGGTGTAAGGTGATACCTCATTGTAGTTTTCATTTGCGTTTCTCAAATAATTAGTGATGTTGAGCAGCTTTTCATGTGCTTTTTGGCCATCTATATGTCTTCTTTACAGAAATGTCTGTTTATGTTTTCTGCCCATTTTTGGATAGTGTTGTTTGTTTCTTTAATATTGAGCTGCATGAGCTGTTTATATATTTTGGAGATTAATCCTTTGTCCATTGATTTGTTTGCAAATATTTTCTCCCATTATGAGGGTTGTCTTTTCATCTTGTTTATGGTTTCCTTTGCTGTGCAAAAGCTTTTAAGTTTCATTAGGTACCACTTGTTTTTTTTTTTTTTTTGCAGTACGCGGGCCTCTCACTGTTGTGGCCTCTCCTGCTGCGGAGCACAGGCTCCAGACGCACAGGCTCAGCAGCCATGGCTCACGGGCCCAGCTGCTCCGCGGCATGTGGGATCTTCCTGGACCGGGGCATGAACCCGTGTCCCCTGCCTCGGCAGGCAGACTCTCAACCACTGAGCCACCAGGGAAGCCCCCACCACTTGTTTATTTTTGTTTTTATTTCCATTACTCTAGGAGATGGATCAAAAAGATTTATGATCAAAAATCATAAATCAAAAAGATTTATGTCAAAGACTGTTCTTCCTATGTTTTCCTCTAAGAGTTTTATAGTGTCCGGTCTTACATTTAGGTCTTTAATCCATTTTGAGTTTATTTTTGTGTATGGTATTAGGGAGTGTTCTCATTTCATTCTTTTTCATGTAGCTGTCCAGGTTTCCCAACACCATTTATTGAAGAGACTGTCTTTTCTCCATTGTATATCTTTGCCTCCTTTGTCATAGATTAGTTGACCATAGGTGTGTGGGTTTATCTCTGGGCTTTCTACCTTGTTCCATTGATCTATGTTTCTGTTTGTGTGCCAGTACCATATTGTCTTGATTACTGTAGCTTTGTAGCATAGTCTGAAGTCAGGGAGTCTGATTCCTCCAGCTCCGTTTATTTCCCTCAAGACAGCTTTGGCTATTCAGGGTCTTTTGTGTCTCGATACAAATTTTAAGATGATTTGTTCTAGTTCCGTAAAAAATGCCATTGGTAATTTGATAGGGATTGCATTGACTCTATAGATTGCTTTGGGGAGTATAGTCATTTTCACAGTATTGATCCTTCCAATCCAAGAACATGGTATATCTCTCCATCTGTTGGTATCATCTTTAATTTCTTTCATCAGTGTCATAGTTTTCTGCATACAGGCCTTTTGTCTCCCTAGGTA